GTACTGGCGAAAATTTAAATTTGCCGACTGGAATTCTTTTGGATGATTGACTTTCGGAAAATTGACGCTCTACTGTATTTTAAAATTTTCCAGAGCAATTCATGCTGCACTGTTGAAGAAACTATATGAATTTTATTTTCGTTTTTATTCACGAAGGAAAGAAGAATTAAATTCATTATATTTTTAATTAATTCAATTAATTTTACCATTATATTAATGATGGCGATATTTGATATGATGACGTAAAGCTTCGTATTGCTGCAATGACAGGATGTAACTATTAGAATCTTCCAGGACGTCGATACTTTCCAATGCAACCAATTCCTCGTCTTCACTTACATTTAATAATTGCTGCATGTCGACGGATAAATTCAAATTGTAATTTACATTGGTAAATTTTTCGTACGAATCGGAGGAAGGAAAATCTACACCAATAAAATGAATGTGAAAATTGTTCGGGTTTATTGTGTAAATAAAATCGATAATATAAGTAACGGGTTCTCGAATATCGTGTAAATTTATCACAGCAATCTCCTCAAGAAATAGCACAAGATAAATTGTAACGTTATTCGGTAAACAGTAATTGTTCAAGAAATCGGATAATACTTCTTTTAATTCGTGGTATTCATCCATGCTCTCAGAGAAATATAAATAAAATTCTTTGAATTGATACAACGTCAATAACTGTTCGAAATTAGAGAAATTCGAAGAGAAACAGTACACAGATGAATGGGAACAAAATTGTTCCCAGTTCGTTTGTAGTTCGATTTGTTGATGAACTTGAAGCATGAATTCGGGAGTAAATATCTTATCCTCTATAGCTTTTAATAACCCTTTAGGTAAAGGATCATGTTTATAAAATCCCAATAGAAATAATAATTCCGCACTATAAATATGAGATGGGAATGGAACATAACCCATATATATGGATAAAGCCGAAAGGAATTCACCAAATGTGCGATGTACAAAACTGTATCGAATTATATTATCGCACTCTGATAAGGAATCCAGAGTAAGAATGCCCAGTCCAATGATAAATTTATATTTATCTTCATTTGAAAACTTCTTCTCTAAGACTTTTGATGTTATACAGCATGGTTTCCTGTTTAATTTTCCCAATTTCAGTAGCAGATTTTCTCCCACAAAATATTTTCCTGTTTTAAACTTACTTTTCTGAACTGATTTTCTAACATAACGTTCAGTTATGAGAGAAAATATTCGGATGTATAAATCAGTCATAGTTTCAAGTTTTCCCATTTCTCCATTCTTATGAAGGCAACACAACATGTGCAGCATCAGAGGACATTCTGCTACTTCTCTATAGAACTCTTCCTCCTCCAATTTAGAAATGAGTTCGTTGGTCTTACTTTCGTCTTTTCCAAACATTAATTGAATATATACCTCTTGGTATTCTGCATTAAATCCTTCTAACGAAAATCTCATCTTCATGTTCTGTCTGATGTCCTCTGCAGCTTGAGGTCGACTCGTTACCACAATGGTCATTCGAGAAGAAATGTCAAATGAATCGTCCCTTATAAATTTTATAACTTTATTTCTCTCTACAACCTCATCGAATCCATCCAAAATCACCAGAATATTCAATTGTCTATCTTCTAATTTCCGAACTTTATCAGTTGACGAGTGCTCATTCATGTTATGGAGTAATGCATCTTTTACACTTTTATTGCCTAATTCTCTTAAGATCAGAAGTAAAGTTAAGTCGAAATGTTGCAGATAATTTGTAGATGCCCAATCGTATGCAATTTTCTTGCAAAGGGTGGTTTTACCATAACCGGGATTCCCTGTCACTAAAATAGTTTGATGACCATCTTCTTGTATGGAAAATAGCTCATTCAAGTTTATATTGTCTCCGATTTTCATTCCAAATAAATCTGCTTTCTCTACGGTTAATTCTACGAAATAATCCTCTAATGGAAAATCCAATCTCTCTCCTTCCCATAAAAAGGATCTCATGTAAGAACACTCCGTGATGTATTTGTACTTCAACTTCTGGTAGCAATTGTTGATCGTTTCTATAAGTAAAAGAAAAAAATTTAATCAAATGTTACACTAGTCTTTCATTTATTTATTTTATTAGCATATTAGGAATTATTTAGTGGTTATGGTAAATATTACAATAATTCTCACAGTACATGAATAGATGGAGTTTTGTAAAACGTGTGTGAGCTTAAAGAAAATTTAGTGAATAACATATGAACAAGTGCACACGCATGATATTGTCTGATATGGAAGAAATACAGAAACGAGTTGCGTAACTTTCCCGGCGGCAACATTTAAAATGACGTATTTGATGGTACCATGAGTAATGAAATAAATTTATACTTATAAAATGCCATTCCTTTACGTTACTCGAAAATTGTCTTTCATAATCTTCTGTAAGTAGGCCTACTCATGAGAAGAAAACCACAACTGACTGAAATTAATATGGGTGATTTATTATATTTTATGTATTATCAAATGTTGACACAATCAATATTAATAGAGTATAATATCATGCTGTTCTCATACAGAACGAACAATTCGCTCTGAGTATTTAACGGGTAAGAAACGCGAAATGAGGGCAATCTGCCATGTGAGAGCGTGTCCAGGAAGGACAGAATATGCGAATTGTACCATATTCACATGTTACACACGTGAGATAAACCAGGAAAACTCCACATAGACAACCCGTTAATGAGGCGCAAACCCGTGAGCAGTGTTCAGTAGTTTTATCCTCTCGGCCACTATTGGTCTCGAATTACAATGCGTTAAGCAGATTCAACAGTTCAGGAGCTGTTGAGTACTTTTCTGCTGAATGCTTTCTACAGTAGCATTATTACGAAACATGTTTTATGTTATGACGACATTTAATAACGTCTTTCGTTTACGTTACCCATCGCTAGCTGTACCAATGATTCAACGCACACGTCGCTCATCGTTCAGCAGATGTAACTACGTAACAACTACTGATTGAAACACCTTTTCTCAGTTACTACTATTGGCTCTGATGAGCGCAGCCAATGTATTTGATTTACGGTTTTATTAAGCATTTACCTTCTTTTTCTTTATCTTCTTTCTTCAAATCTTTTGTTTTTGGTTCTTCTGTACGAATTTCTATTTTTGGTCCATCTCTACTAATTTCTACTTTTGGTCCTTCGGTATGAATTTCTATTTTTGGTCCAACGTGAACTTGCGTACAGTTCTTGAGCATCGTCACATATTGATTACCATTCTCAACTGAAATTAATATGAAATTAAATATTATATTTTATCCCTCAAGATTAGATTAAACAAAGGTAATCTGGTGTTCGGTTTAAAACAGAAATAGGTCTTTCCTATTTTTCACTTAAGGATAATTATATCTATATCCTTTATACTACGATAATTATTCTTATATAAAAGATAGGAAAGATACCAGACTTTACTCAAAATAAATTATTATTTTTTAGTATTTATCACGTCTCTTCTGTACGTTGTTATATTCATTTATAATGTGTAAAATAAAGAATAAATAATTATTTACCGTTTGGAAGTTGGTGAAATAAATTTACATCTTGCCTCATTTCGCCTGTTGCCTGCAATTAATTAAATAATATACGTAAATGTCTGTTTGAACTACCGTACAATAAAGTTTATAATAAGTAAAAGAAAATATCTAATACAGTCAAATATGGCGTTCAAAATTTGTTCGTAAACTGAAAAGTTCGAAACCCGAGGTTCGGCAGTATTAATACAACAGCCTAACATTAAGAAGAGACCAGGTTGGCTCCAACTTTGAAATATGGAGCCGTCCCAAGAATATTAAGAAACGTTCCTCACCATTTAACTGTTCTATTGTGGGAATAGCAGTAATGAAAAACTTTTTCTGGATGAGGATTACTTTGTCAGAAGGAATGTATGGCGATCGGTCAAACAGTGACCTTTTAGAGTTTTACATTTTTCGACTTAGGAGACCTCGTAACGTCGTGAAATGCAAGAAAAATCGGGGTTTTTTCTGCATATATGAATGCTAGTGTGTGGGGGGACACGACTTTGTTCACACTGTTTGAAGCTTAATTCCTATTACTTCGGACGAAAATTTCTGAAATTATGCAGGGAAGTATATTTATTAGACAGGTTGAAGCTATTAAATTTTGGTGATTAAAGGTAGAGGGGCGAGGAAATAGAGGTGGTGAGGTGTCAAATCTCGAATGGAGTCGGATTTTATGAAGATTTTTTAAAACTCGTCTATACCTTTAAAATTGAGCTTTTTTTCGTTTTATAATCACTAATAATAGGCTATAAAAAGTTTTTTAAATTAAATATCTTAACAGATGGCTCCTCACGCAAATATAAATATTGTTGCCGGGAAAGTTACGCAACACATTGCTGGATTTTTTCATACATAGCAGCGGATACAGATTACGTTCAATACTATTTTTGAACAAATTAAAAGATGATTGTAAGTGCTGAGTGTTATTAAAGTATTCAAGTAGTTTTAAAACAATAATCTATAAAATAGATTAAAATAATTTGTACTGTGCAGACTTACATTTGCAACTTTTTTGTCGTCAGCTTCATAAATGACAATACTCTTCTCGTAACTTGAAACTGCTGCTTCTGCCATTTCTTTCATTCAACTTAAATAATTTAAAGTTATGGTTTAAGCAGATTCAACAGTTCAGGAGCTGTTGAGTACTTTTCTGCTGAATGCTTTCTACAGTAGCATTATTACGAAACATGTTTCATGCTATGACGACATTTAGTAACGTCTTCCATTTACGTTACCCATCGCTAGCTGTACCAATGATTTAACGCACGCGTCGCTCATCGTTCAGCAGTTGTAACTACGTAACAGCTACCGATTGAAACACCTTTTCTCAGTTACTACTATTGGCTCTGCTGAACGCAGCCAACGCATTTGATTCACGTTTCTGTTAAGCATTTACCTTCTTTTCCTTTATCTTCTTTTTTCAAATCTTTTGTTTTTGGTTCTTCTGTACGAATTTTTATTTTTGGTCCATCTCTACTAATTTCTACTTTTGGTCCTTCGGTATGAATTTCTATTTTTGGTCCAACGTGAACTTGCGTACAGTTCTTGAGCATCGTCACATATTGATTACCATTCTCAACTGAAATTAANTTTACATTTTTGGACTTGGAGAACTTTAAATCGTCGAGAAATTATAAAGATGTGGGAGATTTTTTCTATATGAATGGACTATTCTGGCCGAGTTGGCCATCTGGAGATTCTTTGCGTTGTTGCTCCCCACTATAACCTGCCAACCCGGCTGTCAGGGGACTTTTTGCGTTTAATTTTTGTGCTTTTGTACAGCAACCCATTCCGGGTTGGTATTTTCAGCAGCTTCTTAGTCATCGAGTCGGTTGTCCAAGAGCATAGCTGCCAATTGCTCGCATTCTCTGTCTTTCTAGAGGCAGTACCATGTGCGGACTTATTCTCTGTATATATTTTGACCATACTTTTTTCTGTGGGCTACGCCCCGTGTGTTGTAATTAAAGTATATTCAATAAATGGAACTTGACGGCGCCATGATTCCCATTTCACACTTTCCTATCATTTTTTACTTTTCTTCCCTCTTCTCACTTCTTCTAAAACTCTTTATCCTTTTCAGAGGCTATGCCGTAAGGTTCGGCCTTCTAACACTTTTAATCATATCAGATATGAGTGAGTGTGTTCGGGGCATGATTTTATTCATCCCATTTCAAGCTTAATAACTCTTTTGCCTCTTGTCGGAAACTTCTGAAATTTCGCAGTGATGTTTGGGTATTAGAGGGAATTGTTTCCAGAAATTTTCAGGAAAATCAGACCATTGGTTCGGGAGGTATTAAAGGAGTGGAACCATATCTCAAAAAGCTTTCATTTTATAAAATTAATTCTGTCAGTCTGTGTATATGTAGATAATACATATACAAAAACTGATCATACATACAGAAAAAATCCTCGACTTTTCTAGCATTTCTCGACGTTTCACGGTCCCGAATGTAAAAATGTAATAATCTTGTAAGGCTATTTTTGACCGATTCCCATACTTTCTATGTGTTATATAACAGCAGGGAAAGTAAATAATGATGTAGAAAGTCGGTAACAAAGTTAATTTTTAATCAATTCAGTATCATTTTCAGAATAACGACCGGAAACACGTACTGTACCTTGGAAATCTTTAAAATCAGTCTTCAGCAGCATCCATATTCTCATAAAGCTAGATATGTTGTAAGCAAGTTCTCTGTTAATCCTGTATTCTATGTTCTACCCCAGTTAATCCTCTGTTGTGACGTTACTATGATGATCTCATAAATCCTTTCTGCAGATCTCTTGCAGTTGCTGGCATTCTTTATTGTTTCGTATTCATTTAGATATTAGTTCTA